AGCAGCATCCAATCTTTGCAAAAATGACTTCTGAACCTTGTGTTCAATGGCAAGTTTTCTCATTTTTCTTATAAAGCAACTACAGTTTGTGGTCAATTTATTAGCTGTAAATAATAATTACATTATTTAGTTTATAAACTGTTATAATAGGCTTTGACACAATACTTTTAGATTATATCTATGAATCAAAACAAATGTAAAGAATTATATCATGCCTTTTTGTGTAGAACCTTTTGTGACAATGTTTTAAGTACTATATTTTTCTGTAACTAATATAGCTATTACTGTGAGTTTTGCAAAAAGCTATTTAAAGTTTGTATTAACAAAATATATAATATATTTTACCTCCTCTCCTAGTTACAATTCTTTTTGGTGCTTTATTTTTTAACTGAGTTCCCTCCACACTGCAAATCAAATCTGTAAATAGAAGAAACATTCAATTCTAAGGGTGATTCAGGAATATAAGGTAACCTATAAAGGAACCTGAGCAACATTTTAATGTTTGTCATTACACTATTTCTTAATGCAATTTTTTTCAATATTGCTTTTTGATTTCGTTTTAGAAATCCCCAAAAATAAAAACAATCATAATAAGGACATCATAACCATAGTACGATAAGAATAATACTTCTTTAAGAGACTGTGGTATGCGTGACCAGTAGATGAAGTTGTATCAAACTTAAAAGTGTATGATTTTATGTGTAATTTAAAAATGTAATTTTGAAGATTTACTGACAATAAAGAAATATAGATACCTGTTGATTTTGCTTCCAATATTGATATGGAGTGGTTTGGGTCAATTTCCATGACTTCTGGCATTTGTGAACCAGATGAAGTAGCATATGTGTATCCTAAAACATAGAATACAATTTTGAGTAAACCATTTTTTTTTTCACAATCATTAATTAAAACAAAGTAGGTAAACTATAAAGGACCTTACTAAAACATTATTAATTTATTAATTATTTGATACTTAAATATTTTTAAATTAGGTAAGTTTCTATAATCCTAATCTCCCAAGGAGTCAATCTGTATGTTATATGATGATTTTTTAGAGTTGTTGGTGATGGTATTTCACTTGATTCAAAGATATTAAATGTAATAAAATCTAAAATAAATCATATTAACTTTGAAAATATTTGTTCTGATACAGGTGGCTCAGGACTGTGCTTTGTGGTATTCCTTGGGGGTGGCCTATGTTCAGCAGTGGACTTGTGAAAGGCTGTAATGATGATGATGATAATGAAGTAAAATTACATTTATTTGTTTGAAAAAGTTGTTGGTAATTTTCAATTGTATTGTGTACACAAAAGTTCAACATGGGTTGATGAATTATAAAATTAAAAACCTTAATAAATAATCAAAGTTGTTAAAAATTATTACCAGCATTGAGAAATAGAGATGCAGGAGGATTTGTGGCTGTTCTTGAATATAAATGATCAACTGGATGTTCTAAAATGAGAAAAATCTATATCAGAAAAAAGAACATAAGTTATACCAAAGTATAAGTAAAATCGAAAAATTTGTATCATTACCTTGGACAACCCCTGCATCTTCCACAATTTCCTCTATGTCTTGCTTTTTACTGTAGTTATGGTCACATAAATGATCACCTGAAAATAACCAAATTAAATTTAATTAAATAATTTTAATAAAGAAATAACCTTGTCTTGTTCTTCAAGAAAGGTGACAACGCTCTCTTGAAGAACTACAGACCGATTTCCCTTCTGAGCCGCGTCTACGTGCTGTTTTCGAGAGTCATTACGAATCGTCTCGCGCGCAGACTTGACGACTTCCAGCCTCCCGAACAAGCCGGTTTCCGAAAGGGCTTTAGCACCATAGACCACATACATACCCTTCGGCAAGTTGTACAGAAGTCCGAAGAGTACAATTTGCCACTATGTCTGGCGTATGTGGACTATGAGAAAGCCTTTGATTCCGTCGAAATTTGGGCGGTGCTGCAGTCCCTTCAGCGGTGCCAAGTTGACTGTCGGTATATCGAAGTGTTGAAGTGCTTGTACAGTAGGGCTACGATGGCTATCCGAGTACAGAACCAGAGTACGAAACCTATCCAATTGCAGAGAGGTGTAAGACAGGGTGACGTCATATCCCCGAAACTCTTCACCGCTGCATTGGAAGACGTTTTCAAGCTTCTGGACTGGAAAGGATACGGTATCAACATCAATGGCGAGTACATCACTCACCTTCGATTTGCCGACGATATAGTCCTTATGGCAGAATCGCTGGAGGACCTAAGCACTATGCTCAATGACCTCAATAGTGTTTCCCAACGGATAGGTCTTAAGATGAACATGGACAAAACTAAGATCATGTTTAATGTCCATGTCACACCTATGCCGATAGTTGTTGGGAACACTAAGCTCGAAGTTGTTGACGAGTATGTTTACCTGGGACAAATAGTCCGACTGGGTAAGTCCAACTTCGACCGAGAGGTCAATCGACGGATTCAACTCGGCTGGGCAGCGTTCGGGAAGCTACGACACATCTTCTCGTCAGACATACCTCAAAACCTTAAAACAAAATTGTACAACCAGTGCGTGTTGCCAGTGATGACTTACGGAACTGAGACGTGGTCCTTCACTGCTGGCCGTATGAGGAAGCTCAAGGTCGCTCAGCGAGCTATGGAGAGGGCTATGCTCGGAGTTTCTCTGCGTGATAAACTTAGGAATGAGGATATCCGCAGTAGAACCAGAGTGACCGACATAGCCCAACGGATTAGTAAGCTGAAGTGGCAGTGGGCCGGCCATATAGCTCGAAGAACCGACAACCGATGGGGAAGAAAGGTTCTCGAGTGGCAGCCTCGTACCGGTAGGCGAAGTGTAGGGCGTCCCCCCACGAGATGGAGTGACGACCTGGTAAGACATGCAGGAAGTCGATGGATGCAGGTGGCTCAGGACCGTGTTTTGTGGCATTCTTTGGGGGAGGCCTATGTTCAGCAGTGGACTTGTGAAGGGCTGTAATGATGATGATGATGATGAAAGAAATAACCATAAACAATAAGAATAACTATCAGAGCATATATTTGTTTTCTAGTAAAAATTCTTCATAATAAATGTTGTATGCCCCATTTTGTGTTCATTGGAAACTTAAATGTTCACTAGTATTGTTGTATAAGACTGGCAATTTACATAACGGCCAAGTGCTGAACCATGAAGTGATAGGAAATAGTTAAAGTATACAATTGCACTTTTATGGGGAAATTTTGAAGATAATTGCTGTTTTATTCCTAAAGAATCTTCCACCACCTATGAATATATACAGTCCATCAAAGTTGATATAAGAAGACGGCGAGACCTGGACAACTACAATAGGACCTGTAATCTTTGGGTACGACTTTCCATTTACTCCCATCGAGTTGCAGGTTGATACATATTTTTACAGAAAAGTTACACTATTATAAGCACACACACAAAGTTACAATATGCGCAAGCGTGTAATTTTTGAGAAAAAAGTTATTGAAAATCAATTATTCTTACATTCTTTATGCCTAATCCTACAATAAAACATTCTATCCCAAAACTCTTATCACACCACGTTGGGTCCGGGATCAACGAGGTGGATGTGACCCCCGTGAAGGAGTGTCACAAGAAAGCGTCTGTTACCTCTTTCTGAAAAGATTAACATGCAGATTAACTTGCAGAGCTAATGCACTTACCGCTTAAAGGCACCCCATGCTCGATTTCTTCAGTAGAAAATAGACATGGATAACCATCTTTGAGACGATTACCCTTCTCATCCAGTTGGTATTTGTCGAAGTGTTTTTGACACACCCGTTTATTCACTAACTGATCTTTTGATAGACCAAGAAGTTCGGAATTCACTGGCACCAAAAACGACAGCCACAAAGCCCTAAGTTTATCGTCCTTTGGTAAATTATAAAGGCGATGAGTTTTGTTGGTTGAATTACAACCCACAACACAGCACTTGATAGGAGCCATGGCCGCAGACCAAAGCACCAGAGCACTGTAGAGGAGAACATAACCCAACAGAACACGAGCTTTGACAATGTGCTGTCGATTTGACAGACTGATTTGACAATCAGTCAAAATGGCTGCCAGAACATGGCTGCCGACAGTAGCGCAATGACGCATTTTTTGGAACTAAAGCTGTCGCAGGCCTATTTATGTTGACATACAGGGCTAATGTTGCCATATTACCGAATCCTTAGGAAATGCGATTGTAATTCACTGATTCGTGAACCCAATAATGCATACGAGACCTTCAATTTTGCAATTTTTAATGTAACTAATCGTAGATCAACTATTTATTTGTTGGTACATTATTTTACAAAGCTTAACTTCTGATTTAGTTAGTGTGGAAATTATTTCTAAGAATTTACCGGGAGATTCAAATAAAAATATAGCAATATTGTGTTCCACACTAAAAAGAGAAGTCAGACCACAGAGAGTGAGATAAAGATACGTAGGTATTTGACTCAAGCTGTTGTTCCAAGTGTGGCCTCCATCTTTATCTATAACTTCATGGACAGAGCATGGTGCAGCACTATTTGTCTCCCTCAAAAGCATATTTCCCGCAAAACTGCTGGATTTTGATTTTGGTCTCACTCTAATCACTTCATCATCAATCTAGTATATAATAAATTTATGGTTGTAGTACGAATGGTCTCGTCATGAGAAGGACCACGCTCTCACAGAATATACCACTTCTAGACTTCTACTACCATCAGGTGGACTGTGTGCATGTTTGTCACTCTTATATTATTATAAAAAAACAGTATTATGGAATAGTTTTAAAATGAAACTATAATCATTTTAAATGTTGCACGAAAGGCAAATATAATAGTGTTATTTAAGTTTTCTTTTTCCATTAAATTCCTTTCAAAGTTTAATTGGCCGTTTTGTAAATTTCACATAGGAGATTTAAAAAAAAAATAAAAAAAATAGAAAAGTAAAAAAGCATTATATTGGCGGGAATTATTAAATTCAAATATTGTGTTCAAAATTGTGTAAGAATTAAAAATGGATCGATATGTGATACGCGAGCCGCGATCTAGTAATGGTAAGAATAATGTGAACTTTTGTGTATTAGGTGTGTTACCTAATGCACTTATATCCATTAAAACTGCATAATTTGTAAACTTACATAATATTACATATATTGATGTTTTTAGGCAATCCACAAACCAGTCACATAATTGCGTTTTCACCAAGTACAAGTGACAATAACTTAACGGTATTTAAGTAAGTATTAAACTATTATTAAAATAAATAATAAGAGAAACCTAATCATATTTAATAAAATTTTAAAGATAATTTTAATATTAAATAGGTAAGTTCCTAAAGCAGTTTCTAATGAATACTGTGAATGATGTTTTTATTTGCCGTGTAGTGGCGGCGTGAAAATATCTACTACCCCATATAATTCAGTGGGTGCTGTGACAACAGAGGTAAATGAGACTAAAGATGGGCAGCCGCATCTTCCTATCACTAAAAAATGCGATGGTTAATCCGCCTGCCTAGCGTGGCAACTATGGCAAAAATTACCCTAAAATATGAGGCAATCTAATCAATGATTTTGAATTGCTGTAATAATGTTGATGAGGAATGGATGGATGGATTGTTTTCCTATAGCGCTGAAAACGTGCACTGCAATCATTGAAGTAATATGTACGTAGTACATGATAGCTCAGTGATTGCAATTAACAATTTCATTGGTGCCGCCGGGGATCGAACCAGGTTCGTTCGCATGTCGTAAAATTTACGGCGACGGTTCGACGGCTCCAATCCTGCGTGTTGCTTAGGGATGAAGCACAAGAAATAAATTTAATTTTTTTTATAATGAACAATGATGGCCGATGGGCTGGCCGACTTTTGACCACAGTGACAACTTGTTCAGTTCTCTTTATCTACCCTTCAAACCAGAACACTGGAGTGAGAATACTGCTTCTTGTTGGTAGAACTAGGTAAGGCGGTAGTAGGTACCTACCCAGACGACATGACTGGGATTGAGAATCTAGACCCACGCAGAATTGGTCACATACTTTGATCATTTCATGCGGTGGTAAATGTACATTAAAAATAATTTCAGACCGGACAACTTGTATTATGGTGGATATGGATCCGATATCTCAAACATTCAACGCGCAAGTAATGCAGGACTTGTAAGTATTAATTAACTTTATTCAGATTAATCACTACATAGGAAAATAACGCATCGGTTTGTGTATTCCCTTAAAACCTAAGGTAAATTTTTATGCGAGGTAGTAGAGAAGTTATGGCGCTCTGTGATCAGGACAAAGGTAAAACCACAGAATCGCATCTTTGCAAAGTCGGGGAAAGTCGCTAGAGTCCTACTATCCTACTTCCTACTAATATTATAAAAGTGAAAGTTTCTGAGGATGTATGGATGTTGTTACTCTTTCACGCAAAAACTACTAAATGGATTTTATTGAAACATTACAGTTATATAGCACATAATATATTGTGTAAATTGGCCAAAATTTAACGATAAATGTTAAGTAAGTCGAAAAAAAACACGCAACGTCTGTCTGAAGACACATCACGCAAAAACATGTGAACCGATTTGGACGGGATTTTCACTGGCTGGTGCTGATGTTATAAGGAGTAACTTAGGATACTTTTGTTTTACTGTTCCGCGCAAAATAATTCCACACTGGTGAAGTCGCAGGGAACAGCTAGTTAAACATAATTTTAAGCGACAGTAGCCTAATTTCAGTGTGCAGACCGCGAATTCAAAAAGTCGTGGGTTCGAATCCGTCATTCGACTACTGTCGTGAACCACTCCTGTACAAGCATTTTAATCTTACCAGGAGTGGTTACAGGTAATATTAGTAATGTGAATAGCATTGGTATTATTTAAAAAATATATATTCTTATTCTGAGATGTTAGTGTTGTTAGCCTTTTTGGCTTTTACAACTTTATCTGACTCACATTTGTAACGAATTATCAGGTTCTCTCTGTGGGGTTTTTCAGCTACATGACCTCTGTCCGAGTGGTAGAGCGACGTTGTACGTGTGTAATTAAAAAAATAAAACGATTATTAAATATAATATTTGTCATACTCCATATTCAGTATTCTTTATTAATTCTTAATTAATTGCATCAATCATTTTAAGTTTGGGCAGATTTTTTTTATAGGATAGGGTGACATACGAGCACACAGTCCACCTGATGATAAGTGGTTGCTGTGGCCCATAGACATCTACATCTATCCTCGTTTGCGAATCAAAATGCAGATGCGTTGTCACCCGTGAGGACTAAGATGAAATGCCTCTTTTCCAGTAAAAAGGGTCTCCGGTTCTCTACACTCACCATACGAAACGCAGCAGCATTAAGCTGCTATTTTACGCTGGTATTCTGTGAGAGCGTGGTCCTTCCCCGGTCGAGCCGACCCATTCGGGTTACAACTATACTACTAATATATTAACACAATTTTTAACATTTTTGTCTGTCTGTCTGTCTGCCTGTGTGTTCCGGCTAATCTCCAAAACAGCTGGACCGATTTTGACGGGACTTTCACTGGTAGATAGCTCATGTTATAAGGAGTAACTTAGGCTGCTTAAATTTTAGAAAAATTATTAGGGTTCCGCGCAACAAAATTAAAACCCTAAATTACACGCGGGTGAAGTCGCGGGAAAGAGCTATTATATCTCTATAATAATTCTTCCTTTTATTTTAATTTAGTAAAGCAATGTTTCCTGATACAGTTTTTGGAGGAGCAGGAAAAGTTCGACGCGCTGTCTAAATATGTTTAGCAGCCACATAATAGGCCTTTACCTATGAAATTGCCGTTCTGCGTTACTAGCCATTTCAAATCAAAACAATTTTTGTTTGGCTAAGAATTCTAATTTCAAATTAAGTTTAATTTTAAAACATGGAATTCTTTTTTCAAAATTATTCGTCATTTATTTATTGATTAGCGTTATGTTTTTATCGCATTTAAATATTTTCCGTCATTATGGAAATTATGTTAAAAAATTCGAGTAATTGTGGAATATGAGTACTGTCGTGGCAGCAACGCAGCACAAGCGGCACGCAACATCAACGACGTTTGCGAATACTACAAAGGAACGTACCACCTGTTATTGGTATGCCCACTTCCGTTCTGGAAATTTCGACATGAAAAATGAACCCCGTGGTCGTCCGAAAACTTTAGTCGACAATTACGAATTAAAGGTGATGGTCGATGCTGATGATACATAATCAACGGCTGAATTAGCAGCAGTTTTCAACGTTAGCATTAAAACAATATTGGTAAATTTTCGTCAAATTGGCAAGGTAAAAAAACTTGACAAATGGGTGCCCACGAACTTAATGATCGCCAGCGCGAAGTATCTACGCGTCGAGACGTGCCTAGCACAGCTCGATAGGCACACAACCAAGGGAATTTTGAACTGCATTGTTACCTGCAACGAAAAATGAATTCTGTTTGACAATCACAAGCGCTCAGCAAGTCGGTTGGGTCCTGTGCGAATGGCCTAAACGAAAACTTTGCCCTAGAAAAGTTATGGTCACTGTTTGGTGGTCTAGCGCCGGCGTTATTCATCACAGCTTCTTAGCAAACGGGATGAGAATTATTGCAGATTTGTGCTGTGAAGAACTGAACACAATGATAAAGAAGCTCGCACGTCTCCAACCAGCTTTGGTCAATCGCTCGTCCCCGCTGCTCCTACACGACAACGTGCTACCTCATACTGCACAACACACGGTGTCCAGGTTACAAGAGATGGTGTCGGAAGCTCTCCGTCATCTGCCGTACTCACTAGATTTTGCGCCTAGAGACTTCTAATTTTCCAGAATTTAGACAACTTATTGTTGGGAAAAAAATTCAATACCCGAGAGGCAGTACAAAATGCCTTTGAAGAATTTGTTGCCTCCCGTCCAGCTGATTTTTTCAAGAAGAGCATCAATAAACTGTCACTGCGTTGGAAAAGATGCATCAATTGCATGGGTGATTACTTTGATTAATAGAAAAAGTTTAGAAAAAAATTACGTTAACTTTATTTCATAAAAAACGGCATTTACATAGGTAAAGAACTAATATAAAACGTAGTGATTAAATAATTCTTTGGGCACATAACACTATTCTCTCTACTTGGCGGGTAGCATATTATGTCCTCGACATTTTTAATTCCTCAACCATAAAGGTTTTATGCAATAATTTCTCTCATCGCCAATCCCGTGTTGAATAAGCATATAAAGCTACAATTACCATTTTCATAACTTGATTTGCTAGCGTACTGTGACATCTTCCCACGGCTTCACAGTCAATTTTATTGCAAGATCTAAGCAATTATATAACGACATCCAGATAATAATATTACCTGACGTTTTAACTTGGCCGTGTTCACTTGGCAAGAGAGCTTCCGTTAACGAACCCTAATACAAATTAAGAGTAAATTAAACTCTTTTCTAATGAGTTTAATTTACTCTTAATTTGTATTAGGTTTCGACTATCCTACATCAGGTGCCGTTATAATTTTATTTCGACCGCCGGTCATAGTTTTTTACAGTATTGTGATTTCTAGTTTTTGATGAAGTTAGATATATATAGTATTACAAGAACATTATTTAAAAACAAGCTTCACGTATTGTACTTAACTAGCCCTTACATTTGATATCCATAGAATAGAACAAAATAGAATATTATTTTTATTGAATATAGGTAGGTAGATTATATTATGTGTTTATAATTCTTATTGGATGTGACATTTTTTCAAAAAGGAGGAAGGAGGTTCTCAATTCGAGTATTTTTTTTCTTGCCTTTATTGTATCTATTTATGATATTTTCATCAATTGTAAAACGTAAGTTATTCTTCAGAAGTAGGTAATACTAGTCCTGCTAGGGTGTAAAAATAAGGGATGAAGTTTTGGAACGAAGTTCCTTACCGGACGGTACGGATTTGGCGGATGGGGGTTAGGCGACAAAAAAGTAAAAGAAAAAGTAAAGTTGCAACCTATTTACATCTCACTGCTGGGCACAGGCCTCCTCTCATTTCCACTGAGAGGGTTTTAGGGCAAGGAAGTGTCCGCCGCGCTGCCCCAATGCGTGTTGGCGAACTTCGCATGTCTTCGAAATATTTTTTTTCTTATTCCTCAGACATGCAGGTTTCCTCACGATGTTTTCCTTCACCACAGAGCACGTGGTAAATCAGCACTTAAAATTGCAATTAACAATTTCATTGGTGCCGGTGGGGATCGAACCCGGGTTGCTTGAGTACTGTGAAGCTTACAGCGAGCGCTAACCATCTGAGCTACCACAGCTCTTCAGGCGATAAAAAGTGTAAGATTTTTCCGTCACGACCCCTTCTGACGTAATGTAGACGGCCTTGGCGGCTATAAGGAAGCGAGATGGAATAATATCCATCTCCCTCGCACTTTTTCTTATCTTGCCATGAAAGAAATAATATTTTATTTTAAATAACGCTTCATTCTAATAGACGCGATTCTTAGCCAAACAAAAATTGTTTTGATGTGAAATGGCTAGTAATGCAGAACGGCAATTTCATAGGTAAAGATCTATTATGTGGCCGCTAAACACATTTAGTCAGCGCGTCGAACTTTTCCTGCTCCTCCAAAAACTGTATCAGGAAACATTGCTTTATAAATGGGAAGAATTATTATAGAGATATAATAGCTCTTCCCCGCGACTTCGCCCGCGTGTAATTTAGGGTTTTAATTTTGTTGCGCGGAACCCTAATAATTTTTCTAAAATTTAAGCAGCCTAAGTTACTCCTTATAACATGAGCTATCTACCAGTGAAAGTCCCGTCAAAAGCGGTCCAGCTGTTTTGGAGATTAGCCGGAACAAACAGACAGACAGACAGACAAAAATGTTAAAAATTGTGTTAATATTATAAGTATAGTTGTAGCAAGAATGGGTCGGCTCGACCGGGGAAGGACCACGCTCTCACAGAATACCAACGTAAAATAGCAGCTTAATGCTGCTGTGTTTCGTATGGTGAGTGTAAAGAACCGGAGACCCTTTTTACTGGAAAAGAGGCATTCCATCTTAGTCCTCACGGGTGACAACGCATCTACATTTTGATTCGCAAACGAGGATAGATGTAGATGTCTATGGGCCACAGCAACCACTTACCATCAGGTGGACTGTGTGCTCGTTTGACACCCTATCCTATAAAAAAAAATCTGCCCAAACTTAAAATGATTGATACAATTAATTAAGAATTAAAAAAGAGTACCGAATATGGAGTATGACAAATATTATATTTAATAATCGTTTTATTTTTTTAATTACACACGAACAACGTCGCTCTACCACTCGGACAGAAGGTCATGTAGCTGAAAAACCCCACAGAGAGAATCTGATAATTCGTTACAAACCTGAGTTAGATAAAGTTGTAAAAGCCAAAAAGGCTAACAACACTAACATTAAACACTAATAGTAATTCATTTATTTGTATTTGTTAATCAATAATCGTTCAAATCAAAGACGTTTATCATAATAATTGCTTCGGAAGGAACTTCGTTCAAAGCGAGTGTTCCACGACACTCACGCGTGTTTTTAAATATTGTTATTGACTATTTAGGTTTTAGGCGATTTTAAAATTTTTACCTTGTCTTGCGATAATTCTAAGGTCCACCCAAAAACTTGGTCATCTGTTTTACTGGGTGTCACATAAGTATAGTCACTCAAGAAGTTGATAATTATTGCGAACGGCATTTTAAGTAATCACGACTATATATAGCAGCTATTTATGGGCGTGGATGGGCAGATGTTTTCTTCGCCTGCTGAGGACTAACGCATCCCAAGCTGGCACTTTTGATCCTTGCTGCACATTTTTCCTTGCTCCTAATTCATTGCCACTTAACCATGATCGGACATCAGCGCAGGTTGTCTACCCGATGTGAATTTTCACTTCGGTTGGGAGGGTTGAAGTTGCGGCGGCACTTGTTCCGCTAGTGTCAGAGTTACCTCCTACAGTTATCAGTTTAAAACTAAGAACGTCTACGCCACTTGTTTACTTAGAAACCTAAATTGAACGCGATACCTAAAAGATCGTATTTGACATTTGATTCAAATCCTGAAATACTTAGAAAAAAAAGAAATTATTTGAGAATAACATATTATACTTTTTATAATTTCCCGTCATAATTTTAGTACATTTCGAAAGTTTTTATAAAGTCAAGTTTTCTATGCATAAATTCATTTAGGAGGATGGAGCAACTCAATGTCGAAAAAAACATTTTACAATATAGCGAGACCACGGGTGTTAGGACTTCTACTGGATTCTAAGTTGAATATCTTATAATGATTTTTCATAATATTTACCTATGTGAATACTACACATGGAATGAAAGTAATTTGACGGAATTTATAACGTTTATTTTCAACATATGTTTAATCCTGATTGAAAATTAATAATACAAAGTTGAAGGTAGCGTAAGTGAATAATGACATCACGACGTGAACATCTCTGTATCCCCTTGATCAGGGTACTGCAAAGTACCCTTCGAGAATTAATTTAGAGTTGTAATTAAACTCGATAAATAATTTTTTGCACTTATTATCGTACATAAATTTGCTAAACGGATTAGTAAGCTGAAGTGGTCAATGGACCGGCAATATATGTAGCTCGAAGAACCTACAACCGATGGGTAAGAAAAGATGGATTTTGGGGGCCGCTTGCTACACTGCGCTTACCGGTATGATGCTCACTAGATGGATTGATAACCTGGTAAACATACAGGAAGTCGATGGATGCAGGGGGCTCAAGACTGTGCTTTGTCACATCTTGGGGAGGCCTGCGTTTAGCAGTGGACTTGTATGACCTAATTTCAGTTACAAAAAATAACCAATATAGTTTAAGATGGTATATTTTTACACTTTTTTTAATAAGAGATTTACCTCTTACCGATGCTTGCCGATGTCGAGGTATTTATTGCATTATGATCTTCACACATTACCCTGTTTAGGTTTTAAAAAAATTGCACTTTACAACTCTTATTTCTTTATAAAATAGCATGGATGACGGTCTATTTATAAATTGATTAAAATGAGATATGTTAAAAAGTTCTCAAGACCTAATTTACCTGTGGTCAAAAAAATTGTGTCTTGAATTTGATATCTATGGTAGAAAATTTTTATTCTGAGTTAAAATTTTTATTTTTGACTCATAATAAGAAAATTAACAAAGAACCTATATATTCAAGTGTACATATTATATAAAATTACAGTTTAATTAATTTTGAAACAACTGAAATATGAAGTTTTGAGACGAAACACACCCGGTTTAGTACACATAGTGAGCCGCCGAGACCGGTGTATTCTATGTCAGACGTAAACGAGATGATTGTACCGCCATCTGTTGGTTGCCATTTTCTGTCATTTCTCATAATTGCCTCTCACAATACCGCGGTATCGTCTCTATTTTAAAATTAACATCTGCAAATTTAATCGTTTTCGACAGTTTTCGGATATGATCGCCGTGATCACTTTGAGGGACATCACTATAATAATATTTGTAATATAATTCACAGTATAAAAATAAAACAACCTTCTATTAACTTGGGCTCCTTTTTAAATTGATTTCTTTCCTTCTCAGCGAAGCCCCGAAAACTCCGAACGTTTTAATTAAGGTTACTTCAACGTCAAAAGGACGCTGAGGTATTGTTTTCGAAGAACAAGGGATAAACTTTTTTGTTTACGTAATAATTTTGTTTAGTATTTTTAAAATTACCTTCTTTAACATAATGTGATTTGTCCCTAGATATTAGGAAATTCTGGGCACATTGTGTCTGGGATCGATCCGCGTTATTTAGCGGCGTATACTGACGGCAGTGCTACTTACTTAGCAACAGGTAATTATTTTTAATTATTTGTGTAGGTCCTCTTACTTATTATAATAATTATTGTTTATTATAATATTCTTTAGGTCCCATAGATCCACGTGTTAGTAGGTGTTAGTCGGTTTGACTATGTTTTGCTTGTTCATATTTTGAGCTATTATTGATCATGACGATATGATGAACTTAAGCAACATGAACGCTCTATTCGATGAGCACGTGAACAAAATGTTACGGTCACGGCGGCCAGCCTCAACGGAGACTTAGCCATCGGCGCAGGACAGGATTATAGTGCCCAAGTGTATGCGCAAGCACAGGTGCACTCTCTATTCCCTCACTCTCATAGTCCGATGGGACGGTAAACCGACACGACCGGAAAGAGATCGGCGCAGGACTACGGCTTTAGGTGTTTCCGAGGTGCGGAGGTGAGCCATCGCCAATTTCCTGACTCCGAGCAGCTACTGAGAATTTATTGACGGAAAACTCAATAACTGATTTTTTGGCCCCACTCGGGGTTCGAACCTCAAACCTCATGATCAGAAGTCGCGTTTACAATCACTAGACCCACGAGGCAGTAACAGCACAAAATATTATAATAAAGGAGTGTCATATCTCTCCACTATACTTATGTCTGTCGCCAAGCAGCAATGAATTTTACTTTATGTTCTGGCTTAAAGAGTCTATAGAGACAGTATAATACAAGATTGTGAGGCGTTCCATCTTGGTTATTACAGGCAATAAGTAATGACGCACTTAACTGTGGCTTACTATGGTTAAAGATGGTTGCAGGAACTAAAACTAATGTCTGATTGTATTACTTTGATGTTGAGAATTAAGAGTTATACAACATGTAACAAAAACCCTGTGGTTCCAGTTAAGTGCGTTATCGTATACGCTCTTACAACAAAATCCCAGAACATATTCAAAGTTTGTCAATAAACAAGTTTAAAAGTTTTATTAAAGAAAAAACTGTACAAAAAGGTTTATTATAATATCAAGGAATACATGAATGAAAATAACCCCTGGGAATAAGGTGATCGCCACCATGCTGGTTCTATGAAGAATCATTTAAAAATTGTATAAACGAAGTAATTGTTAAGTGAAATATGTTTGAAAAAAAAAAGTCCCGCTAGGTTTCTTGCTGGTTCTTCCCAGGACTGACGTATTTTCCGAACCAGTGGTAAATAAAAAATGACTTTCAATAAGTATTATGTAATAATCAATATAGAATAAAAAATTATTCTATTCTGTTCTATTCTATCAGTCAGTATTCAAACGTAGAGAAATAATTTTTTTCAAAAAACATGAACATTAAAAACTATTTTAATTAAAAAAATAATTTTCGAATTGTATGTGGTTTTATTACCTCTGCATTATCCGGGGAATAAGAGGATTGTGAAAGACCCACCTTCACCGATGCTCGTGTCAGTTAGAGGTAATAAAACCAGACAAAATTTGCAAATTAATTTTTTTTTAAATTAAAATAAATTTTTTTTTCAGCATTTTTTAAAAAAAATATTTCTTTACGCTTACGAATACTGAGTCTGATAACGTACTTAATGGGAACCACGGTGTTTTTGTAACATGTTGTATATTTCAGATCGATCATGGCGACAACTTGTGCTTACTTTTTAAAGTTTCCACCTGGTCATGACATATTAAAATGCACTATTTGTATGTGATAGTCACGCTGCAAATATATTATGGCTGCAATAATTATGTTTATTTATTTATTTATAGGGGAAGGCATACCAATACCAACATTACATGACATATTTATGTTGAGCCAGTGACCGTTTCGTTGCTGCAGCCCAATCAATATTCATTATTAGATTTTTGCTTTGTTTTTTTTTGTCTTTTACTTCTTGTGGTTTATTATACTGTGGTAACGAATACATACGAGTGTTATTTATTTAGTTACATGATACAGTTGTGTTTCGTATACTAGACACTCCTTTTTACTGTCAAAGAGGTTTTCATCTTCGTTACCAGGAATGACAACGCATCTACATTTTGGTGCTTAATTTAGGGTAATTGTAGGTATCATTAGAAAACAGCATCCCTTTGCCATTAGGTGGAATGTGTGCTCATTTTTCACCCATAGTTGTATGTACATAGGACACAAGTTTGTAAATGCTTGATGTAAAGCTTATTAGGCATTACTCTTGTTCTACCCTTTCATATTCTATAAAGTAGTCGGAAATTGAGAGGCGACTTTGTGCCTTACACTATGTTCGAAGTGGAGCTTGAAATAGTATGCTGTACCTACCCTAATAAAAATTGAAAATAGGTTAACCGCGTTGCCATTTCTTTACTTTCTAACACGGGGTTAATCAATGTTTAAAAATACGTTTAATACAATAACAGGAACCGGCGGGAGTCGAACACGGGTCGTTTGTGTACAATGAAGTTTTAAACCAGCGTCTTACTTCTAAGCTATGATGATAATGCTCATGTAGAACTATAATTAATTCATTATTGTGTTGTACTTATTGAAGTCGAATGTACTAGAATGTACAAGAATTCGACTGTACTAGAATTCGAACCTTAACTCAATATTTTGTGGTTGATAAATGATGTTGCCACATTATGTACCTGAACGAAAATTATGAAGAAAACAAATGATCAGAAGTGATTGTGTTTAATAATATCTTTGTTTGAAATAGGTCAGGAACAGATTCCAACGCAACAAAATCTCATTAACGCAGATACTACAGATAGAGTGATCTATGGTCAATACCAAAATAAAAATTTCGTCGGACCGGAAAAACCCACACCAAGAAAATATGTGCCTCAAATTACTGGGAAAGGTACTTTTAATAATTGTTAATACAAATATAGGAAACAATTTTGACTATATTTCCTCTGCTTTACATCATCATCTCGTATAAGTTCACAGCTAGGCACCTTTCCTATTGCATATTGCAGGACAGATTAGATATAATATACTATATATATCTAATCTGTCCTGCAATATGCAATAGGAAAGGTGCCACACGTATAATATACGATATATTATACGTGATAGAGCCATGCTGCAGCTATATTAGTAGTATAGTTGTAGCACGAATGGGTCGGCTCGACCGGGGAAGGACCACGCTCTCACAGAATACCAGCGTAAAATAGCAGCTTAATCCTGCTGTGTTTCGTATGGTGAGTGTAGAGAACCGGAGACCCTTTTTACTGGAAAAGAGGCATTCCATCTTAGTCCTCACGGGTGACAACGCATCTGCATTTTGATTCGTAAACGAGGATAAATGTAGGTGTCTATGGGCCACAGCAACCACTTCCATCAGGTGGACTGTGTGCTCGTTTGTCACCCAATCATATAAAAAAAAATAATCACGCGTGGCAATCGGATTTGAGGTTGAAGGACCACATGATTAGTACCTTTGACATTGCTCTTTATTTTACGTGTGGAGTATATAGATGGTTAAATTGCCATCGGTCATTAACTATAACATTTTTTTGGCACTTCCCACAATCACCTGCTATGATACGCGACGCACACGGGTCGAAATAAGACAATGGATACTCTTGCGACGCCACTACCGTGTGGTTGATTTTTGTTAATTGTTTTTAAAAAAAAATATTTATTTATTAGGTAAATTTTTCATTTATTTTTTGTAGAATTCACAAGGCAAGTGATCCCCTCGAAACAATCTAATACTTATGGAAACATGCAATTGCCGTTGCAAATCCAAGAAGAAAGAAATCAGAAAACCTCAAAGATATCGTCCAATGGTAATTTATAAAAAGAATGTCTTTTTTAAAAAAATTGCATCGATATTATATTTATTCGTATTCAAAAAATAAAATAAAAAGCTTGCAAGGTTTCATTAAAATTCTATTATTTACTTTGATACATTCATTTGGGAAAAAAATATATTATTCGCTTATAGAAAAAAGAAAAATAAACATATTATGGCAATTTTATATTGCGATTACCATAAAGAATATACTTATTAAATTCTCATCAATAGAGGACTTCTCATTTTGAATTTGATACTTGGCGTGACAGTTCAAACTTCAAACTATTAAAAGAAAAAGACAGATTTTCGATTCGATTTGAAATGAACGCAATATAATCGATTCTTGATTAAATTGAGCGTATTAATATTTATTTTCGATTATTTTTCTGTGTTAAGGAGATAAAAATTGCGAACATATCTACAAAATAATAATAAAAAATACAAAATATCAACATTCCAACATGTAACAGTAACAACAACTACTCATGTAATCGATCTCAGATCGATATCCCTAATATTTACTTCACTTAGTTGTTATTAATTTAACTTTCGTTAATTGTATCACCATTTTGTTTCCTTATTAACCACTACTTCTCTTTAGTGATTTTATGCTGATCCTGCTTTTATATATTTAAGTAATTATAGTGAAAAATATCCTGCTACAGCGTAATAACAGTGAAAAATCACCTGTCACAGTGTAGGTAATACTTAATCTCACTTTTACTTATTCTACAATAACTCAGCTCCTAGATTGACAAATCTCACCAGATTTTCAGCTATGAATCGTTTATATATACGCTTTCAAATGGTCTTACCTTGTTAACACCTGGGCCCAAGAATGTATGGAGACGTCTCCTTCTCCTTTATAATGTAACTTACTTTTATACACTATATAAAACGATTATGTTCAAAATATATTATATTTATGTGTTGATAAATATTCATTAATTTTATTTATTCTATAAAAAATATATAACTAAATTTTCAGCGCTCTTATAGCTGGAACCCTCCCAAAAATATCCTAACTTTTTTATAATTTTATTATATGAAGATTTAGTGAGGAATTGGTGACAATTAGGGACATAAGAAAAAATTAGTGATTTAATACTTTAACAGATATAGCCCTTTTGTTAGGAGGATTCTAGCTTGAATTCAAACTAGCAGCCTCCCCTCGGAAACGTGATTACTGCCTGCTTTTGGGATGTGATTTGTATTGTAAGATTTAGTGAGCAATTGGTGACTTTCATTTACCGAGATTGAAACAAATTGTTCCAACGAAACCGGCGTTGTTCATATGTCTTAAGGAGGATTCTGGCTTGAAGATTATATATTAGAGAATAACTCCAGAACGCCTGTATTTCGTTGTGTTGTGAAATATGTATGTGTCAAGATTTACGACGTATTTGCTGTGGTCGATCTTTATTTTCTTCATAAATCTACTTAAAACTTATGTCTTCCCATGTTATCATTCTGTATTTATATTTTTATTTTATGTTTAACTTAATTGTATAATGTATGTCTACCTTCCTCCTAGCCATTCAATAGGGTTTTCATCCGAAATACCTTCAGTAAGTTTCGAGTCAATCGTCCTGTAAAATAAAAATATTCATATAAACTGTAACACTATTTCAACCTCTTAGGTATTGAACTTTACAAAATCCTTTCTTAGTACGATGCCTACGCACGGATTTAGTTTATTTAGATGTCTGTGTCTACGTAATTAAGGGAAACTTTTAGTCTAAATGTCACCCTTCTACGTCCAATGTTTTGCGTTGTGCGTTTTAATATAATATTCTTCATAAAATCTTTGCACCTACATTTTAAAACATTAAGGGTAAATTTTTGACAAAAGGGATATTTTATTATTTAAATATAAGAGTATTTCTGACGGTTGGCACCACTCTCTTACTTATCCCTAAAGCCGTTGTACGTGGTAGAGCCACGCTGCAATTATATGAATAGTATAGTTGTAGCACGAATGGGTCGGTCGGACCACGCTCTCACAGAATACCAGCGTAAAATAGCAGCTTAATGCTGCTGTGTTTCGTATGGTGAGTGTAGAGAACCGGAGACCCATTTTACTGGAAAAGAGGCATTCTATCTTAGTCCTCACGGCTAACAACGCATCTGCATTTTAATTCGCAAACGAAGATAATGTGGATGTCTATGGGCCACAGCAGCCACTTATCATCAGGTGGACTGTGTGCTCGTTTGTCACCCTTATTCTATAAAAAAAAGCCATATTCCGGTTTGATGGGTCTGAGAGCGTGTATAATAACTGACTGTGAAGCATTTGATTTTCATCCTCAGGGGTTCTTAGCATGAAATTTTTGGTAGTTTTAATAATTGGTTGCCACAGCTATGGGTTATAGGTATATGGGTTGCAGTTGCTACTTAGCATCAAGTAGAGTGGTAGAGCCATGCTGCAGGTATATTAGTATTATAGTTATAGCATGAATGGGTCGGCTCTACTGGAGAAGGACCACGCTCTCACAGAAAACCAGCGTAAAATAGCAGCTTAACACTGCTGTGTTTACGAACGGCGAGTGTAGAGAACCGGAGACCCTTTTTACAGGAAAAGAGGCGTTCCATCTTAGTACTCACGGGTGAGAACGCATCTGCATTTTGATTCTTTATTGAGGATAGATGTAGATGTCTATGAGTCACAACAATCATTACCATCAGGTGGACTGTGTGCTCGTTTGTCACCCTATCCTATAAAAAAAGTGGATTGCTTGCTCGCTTTTTAATCTAAGGTTATACTTTCGTATATATAAAAATTAATTTAGGAATTGTTACCAAAATAAAACAAATCTTATTCTTATTTTCTACGTAGGAATTTCATAACGAACTCTTAATAATTGTTTACTTCTAAAATCATCATCATTTCATCATTACAGCCCTTCACAAGTCCACTGCTGAACATAGGCCTCCCCCAAAGAATGCCACAAAGCACGGTCCTGAGCCACCTGCATCCATCGACTTCCTGCATGTCTTACCAGGTCGTCACTCCATCTCGTGGGGGGACGCCCTACACTTCGCCTACCGGTACGAGGCTGCCACTCGAGAACCTTTCTTCCCCATCGGTTGTCGGTTCTTCGAGCTATATGGCCGGCCCACTGCCACTTCAGCTTACTAATCCGTTGGGCTATGTCGGTCACTCTGGTTCTACTGCGGATATCCTCATTCCTAAGTTTATCACGCAGAGAAACTCCGAGCATAGCCCTCTCCATAGCTCGCTGAGCGACCTTGAGCTTCCTCATACGGCCAGCAGTGAAGGACCACGTCTCAGTTCCGTAAGTCATCACTGGCAACACGCACTGGTTGTACAATTTCGTTTTAAGGTTTTGAGGTATGTCTGACGAGAAGATGTGTCGTAGCTTCCCGAACGCTGCCCAGCCGAGTTGAATCCGTCGATTGACCTCTCGGTCGAAGTTGGACTTACCTAGTCGGACTATTTGTCCCAGGTAAACATACTCGTCAACAACTTCGAGCTTAGTGCTCCCAACAAGTACCGGCATAGGTGTGACATGGACATTAAACATGATCTTTGTTTTGTCCATGTTCATCTTAAGACCTATCCGTTGGGAAACACTATTGAGGTCATTGAGCATAGTGCTTAGGTCCTCCAGCGATTCTGCCATAAGGACTATATCGTCGGCAAATCGAAGGTGAGTGATGTACTCGCCATTGATGTTGATACCGTATCCTTTCCAGTCCAGAAGCTTGAAAACGTCTTCCAATGCAGCGGTGAAGAGTTTCGGGGATATGACGTCACCCTGTCTTACACCTCTCTGCAATTGGATAGGTTTCGTATTCTGGTTCTGTACTCGGATAGCCATCGTAGCCCTACTGTACAAGCACTTCAACACTTCGATATACCGACAGTCAACTTGGCACCGCTGAAGGGACTGCAGCACCGCCCAAATTTCGACGGAATCAAAGGCTTTCTCATAGTCCACATACGCCAGACATAGTGGCAAATTGTACTCTTCGGACTTCTGTACAACTTGCCGAAGGGTATGTATGTGGTCTATGGTGCTAAAGCCCTTTCGGAAACCGGCTTGTTCGGGAGGCTGGAAGTCGTCAAGTCTGCGCGCGAGACGATTCGTAATGACTCTCGAAAACAGCACGTAGACGCGGCTCAGAAGGGAAATCGGTCTGTAGTTCTTCAAGAGAGCGTTGTCACCTTTCTTGAAGAACAAGACCACCGCACTTCTGCTCCACGCCTCCGGTGTAATGCCACCATGGAGGACAGAATTAAAGAGCTTCTGAAGGACTTCAAGTACCGGTCTTCCACCCGCTTTCAGAAGCTCCGCTGTAATTCCATCCTCGCCTGGGGCCTTACCGTTTTTAAGGTGCTGGAGAGCCATCCTAATCTCGCTCAGACTGACACCCGGGATATCTTCGGAATAGTGTCGGATGAGACTCGCTCTTGGATCGTTACTCACACTTGCGTGTGGCTCCAACGATGATGTGTACAGCTGCCCATAGAACCTCTCAATCTCACTCAAAATCTCAGGTGTCCCGGAAACGATGCTGCCACATTCTGTCTTCAGCTTTGACAGTTGGCTCTTTCTGGCAGACAGATCTCTGGCAAAGACTTTGGAGCCTTGGTTCCGCTCGATCGCTTCTTCAATACGAGCTGTATTGAAGTTGCGTAAGTCCCGCCGCATGCATTTGGAGATCTGTCTGTTCAGATGCCTGTATGCTGTCAAGTCTGTTGAAGAATGTAGCTTCATCTCCCGTCTAACAGCTATGAGATTAAGAGTGTGATCGGAGAGTTTTTGTGTTTTTCTGCGGCGGGTCTTGCAGAACTTAGCTCCGACCGCATGGACAGTTTCCACGAGCTTGTCATTCATATCGTCCACTTCATTGCAGTCTTCCAGGCACTGAAAACGGTTTTGTAACTCGAGCTGAAAGGTTTCGGGACTCTGGAACAGAGCACGAGGGGGACGGAGCGTTGACTTCATTAGACGAGACCTCTCCAACTTAACGTTTAGGTTCAGTGTGCCTCTAACCATTCGGTGATCGCTACCAGTTTTCACCCTCGCGATCACGGAGACATCACTGAACAGTTGTCGTCTGGTCGTCATAATGAAGTCAATCTCATTTTTTGTGGAACCGTCGGGGCTCGACCAGGTCCACTTCCTGTGGGGCCGCTTCTGGAAGAAAGAGTTCATCATAAAGAGTCCCTCTTTCTCCATGAAGTCGGCCAGCTGCTGGCCCCTTGGGTTCCGTTGCCCTATTCCAAATTTCCCTACTTTCAGCTCACCGTTCTCTCTTGTGCCTAGTTTTGCATTGAAGTCTCCCATTAACACCGTATATTGGGTTTTGGAGGAATGCATGGCTCTAGAGATATCCTCATACATTTCCTCCACCTCCTCATCGGGGTGTGCCGAGGTTGGTGCGTAAACCTGTATGACCTTCAGCGAATACCGTTTGGTGATTCTGAGTATAAGGTACGCAACCCTCGTCGACACACTCCCGATCTTTACAACGTTGTTAACGAGAGACTTGTGGACGATAAATCCGACACCTCCTTGGGACAGATGGTCGCCCTCCCGGTGATAGAGCAATTTGCCGGATTCGAGGATTACCGTGTCCTCCCCCTCTCTTCGGACTTCGGATAATCCTATAATATGCCAGCGCAACTTGTCTATCTCTTCTTCCAGCTCCACGATCTTCTCGTCAGTCCTCAGGGTGCGTGCGTTGTACGTTGCCAGGTCGAGTCGTCTAAGGTGGCAACCGAACCTCCACCGGAGATTCTTAGCACCCCCTGCCCCGCCGTTACCATGGTCGCCACCGTAGCCAGGAATAGCGGGGCCGCCGGGGACTGGGGGCCGTTTCTTTGTTACTGTCATTCATAGGGGGTATTTGCCATAGTTGCCACGCTTGGCGAGCGGGTTGGCAACCGCAGTTTTTTTATTGTAATTTGGCTATTATCAGGAAGATGCTGCTGCCCATCTCCTGCCTGTTTCCCTTTGTCGCCTTTTACGACACCCACGGGAGGATATGGGGTAGTGGATATTCTTGACCGCCACTACACGGCAAAAAAACTTCTAAAATAACATCGTCTTAATCGGTTTAATTTCTGTGTAAACTCAATCTTACAAATTCGTAGCTCTGCACTTTCGTAAGAGCTCGCTCGCATTTGCTAACACAAATTTTGTGGTATTTAATAGTACTCTTGTGAGTTTAAGTCCAAAAGTTTTAGGTACCATTGGAAACTGTTTTTAATTAAAAGGTGTAACACAAAGAAGGTTTTAGCGGTATTTTACATTAGCGTATTTAACTTAACATATTTATTTATTTGTATACTAGTTTTGCTAAACATCTGAGACGTGGTAGCTCAGATGGTTAGCGCTCGCTGTAAGTTTCACAGTACGCGAGCAATGGGTTCGATCCCCGCCGGCACCTTGGAAATTGCTAATTGCAATTTTAAGTGCTGATTTACCACGTAATTGGTGGTGAAGGAAAAGATCGTGAGAAAACCTGCATGACTGAGAAAAAAGAAAAAAATTTTCGAAGACATGTTAAGTTCGCCAAATCGCTTTGGGGGAGCGCGGCGGACATTTCCTTGCCCTAAAACCCTCTTAGAAATGAGAGGACGCCTGTGCCCAGCAGTGGGACGTATATAAACTGTAACTTTAACTTTTTTATACTACTTTAATTTAATGAATAGCATTTCTAATTTATAGTAAAATTACACTTTACATGCGCCCCACGAGTAGACCTCTCACATCGGCATACAGCTGTTAATCAAACAAAGTTTGCTTGAACGATTAAAGTAGTTTTGTGTTCATCTAAGAAGAAATGAGACGTAATGTTGTTGAGACGAGACAGTTAATTAGGCCTTCTGTACTTTGTGAGAGGGAGGACCGTCCGTCGCAACACCAATTTCTATGTGCGGATTTCTCATAGGATTCACATATCCGCAAAATTTTTCTCGACATTTAGAGTTAATTTGTAGACGAAAATTGGTACAAAATAGGTTGTGTATACAAATATTTTTATTTTTTACTTCTAACTTTGTGTTCAAATTATTATGTAATTACGTATTATACGTATTTGTTTATATTAATTAATTAAAAAATGCTTATTTAAAAAATAGTCGAACAAGAAAATTATTTTTATACAAATAATAATTATGATTTATTCAGTCAAAACATTAGTCTCAAATGAACTTCTCACAAAGACTTCAAGGGTAGTTGATTTAAGCCTAGTTATATTTTTTATTTTCTAGAGCAAGTGCAAACGTCTTCAGACACTGTTTATGCGAAGAACGATGCACAAAATCAATTAAGTACACGGCAGGACAAACTTAAAGTAAGTTTTCTGTTTATTCATAATTTTATGAACAGAAGGAAGTTTATGAAGAAAGGTCGACGGCACAAGAAGATTAATAACCGCTACAAGTGTATCAACTTGTAGCGGTTGCGCCACAACAACTTCCTTAGCTTAGTATAAAATAAGAATATAAATCCGTTCAGTGTATAATCATGTCTCATTTTTAACAAAAGCCCTTAAGCAAAAAGTGGATAGTAAAGAATATTCGTAATTTTATCTCTTTTTTTGAGTGCCGTAAGGTGACGAACGGATTAATCTATCGAAAAAGTTAATACCATGATTAGTGAACGGAAACCAGCGACTAAGGTGCAGATCGTCAGGTTCTAGGCAAGCGAAGCCATACAAGGCGTTTCAGCGGTGTCATTATAGCGTTCACATATAAAAACCCTAAACATTATAGGCATGGCGCTAAATCTGGTGATTTCATGTCATTATTCTTTAGCGCCCCCACCCCCTCCTAGCTCCGTACGCGAGTACCGGATGTCTATAGTTTTACTTCAATTTTAATTTTTTTTTATTTGAATGCTGGTGCTTCTCATGTGGTCCCATATAAATTTGATCAAGGTCTGACCAATAGTTTTTAAGTTATTCTCAATAATTAATATTGAAGTCGGCTGTACAAAATTTTTAATTTAAAATTATTATTATTTGTAGCATAGGACGAAAAAAATTACGGACATCTATTTATTTTTCTAGGGAAATTTTTTATTAGAGTTAATATTAATGGATGGTAGGATGAATATCATTTAGTATGAGGCTGATTAAAATCCCGGATCGGCGATATAGCAACGTCTAAAAATGCCTGCTAAACGTGGCGATTACGATATTTTTTATAGAAATAAATGTGAAAAACGATCACACAATCCTTGTGATAAGTGAATACTGTGACCCATAGACACCTTCATTTTAACCTTGATTTAGAATCAAAAGCAAATATATCAGATAGAACGAGAATGTGAAACCTTCATACAAGCTTCTCGCATCACACGCACACAGGCGCAGGTACCTACAGTAGCAAACAGAGCTGGAAAATAGGAACTCTATCTTAGTCCTCAGAGTCGACAACTTATCTGCATTTTAATTCTTAATCGAGGATAGATGTAGGTGTCTATGGGCCACAGCATCTACTTACCAACAGGTAAACTGTGTGTTCGTTTGTCACCCTTATTCTTTAAAAAAGGACACTTCATATGATTGCAAATGGTTGGCGGTCCACCACTGTGCGATTTAGAAGATGTTTTCTTCCTTGCACAACTTCCTTGTGGAATCGATTACCACCAGCGATTTTCTCGGACCGATACGACTCAGGGACCTTCAAGAAAAGAGCCTACTCCTTTTTAGAAGGCCGGCAACGCATCTGCAATTCCCCTGGTGTTGCAGTTGTTCATGGGCGGCGTTTGTCACTTACCATCAGGTGAGCCGCATGCTCGTTTGCCCCCTCTCCTATAAAAAATACTTTCACGTCATGCTGCTTTTAAGTTTAGTTTGCTCCGTATGGTATAATGATGACAGTTTAAATATTAAAAAACTTATCGTCTCTCTCCTTCCCTCTTCAACTGGAAGAAGGTTTTGCCATAACGTACACTGCTGAACATAGGCCTCCCCAATGCGGAACGCGGCCTAATCTGTATTCCTAAAATATATATGATGGACCCCTTTTACCATTTTTCAGATAATGAGGCATTCAATCTTAGTATGTACGCAGGGGTAGCAAGTAACAACACATCTAAATTTTGAATCTTAATCTATGATAGATGTCTATGTACCACAGTAACCACTTACCACTATGTGCTCGTTTATCACACTCCCTTACATAAGGAAAAATATTAGTATTCATTAGATCAACTGCAAAGGGCGGAATTGTGTTAATTGACTATTCATTTCATGGCTTTGGTGTTAGTAGTTCTAAAGAAGAGGTCTAATAAGTTTATATATAAACATAAAACGTGATAAATGTACCAATTTACGTAGTAAAGCCACGCTGAAAGACGTAAGGGGGACACTATGGCTGAAAGACGTAAGGGGGATGCAAAATAGCATAATGCTTCTGTACTGTAGTGATGAGGCATAACATCTTAGTCCTCAAGGGTGACAACGTATCTGCATTTTGATTCTTAATCAAGGAAAGATGTTAGTATCTATGGGCCATTGCTGCTATTTTATAACATCTGTAACTTGTTTTCTTTTTTTTATCATTATAAGAAAACAATTAAATAAAACATTACTTCTTACATTTTAACGTTAAATTTTTTTTATATTCCGAAATTATATTTGTTTTCCCATCAGGTAAATTTTTATATAATATATAATTTAATAACATATTACGATCGACCGCGTAGTGGCGGTGTAAGAATATCCTTTTACACCTCCTCATATGTTCATCGGTGGGCTTTGACAGACTCTAATGATGGTGATGATGATGGCATATTACGACATCACTTATGTTCGAACCTAACGAATTTCTTCGTCTTTGGTATATCGTTGAGCAATAGTGCAGAATAATTTGCCAGCACCTGCCTTTCATTTCATTACAATATGAGTGTCTACAAGGCAAGAGTGAATAGGCTTTTGTTAAGCTAAGTCATTGCGCTTAACCATCTTCAGCAACATCACCACTTACCATCTGGTGGGATAGTACTCAAGAATTGACTACCATAATATTTTAACAAAAATTGGAGAACTTGATTAACGTATCTTGGTAAATTAGCTTAAAAAGGCTAAAAAAAATATTATGCTAAAGGAAACACAAAATCACATAACAAATACTACGAAAGTCCACCAAGGCTCTTCTTTAACTTAATGAACATAAGAGTGGGTGCTCTGCTCTATTGTGCTAAAATCTACTTTCACGTTAAAAATAATAATGGCGTATGTTTCTTGTAATTTATTTGTATTCACTGAATAACCTCAAATATTTTAGACCAAATTGCTAAAGGAAACCCTTCATATGCTTTTAGCCTTTGATCATCAAACGAAATGACTACAATTCATATTTATTAATTTGTTCATACTAAACCAAGCAAAACTTTTATAGGCTTTAAATAAAAGCGGTCCAAGAGCATTTTCCGGTCCCGTGGAGAAGGTGCTTAAATGGCACAAGTCTTTACAAGAAGTGGGTATTTTGATTCTTTACGAAATTGTTGGTGAGTTGACATTTTATTTTAGTTATTCCATTTCTGAATATAACTTTCTTTATATTGTCAATATTAGACGCCTCATATATTAAATTTTATTTTAATAGAAGTAACAGTGACAAATGAGCACATAGTTCACGTGATGGTAAGTGGATGCCACTTTTAAGTACCAACTCTTAAGGACTAACTTGGAATGACTTGTTACTAGTAAAAAGCGTCTCCAGTTCTCATTTCAATCAGCCGACGTATTAATGATGTAGCCATAATTGAAGCGACAGTAGCCTAATGGTAACGTAAAAACGTTGTTCCTTCAGTACTTGTCAGGTGTTCATTTCAGAAATAATTATTCTGTTACACGTTCAAACATTAGTGGCATTTTCAGTATGGGATCCGAGGAAGGGACAAAATAATATAAATGTAGCGTGGCATATAATGGATAGGAATTATACAGTAAGGATATAAAATTTGCTTTTTAATAGTGTGAGTGACAAACTTACTAACATTTTAGCAGAGAATCAAAATTAATAATTCAAAGCTGAGTTTTAAGTTTAAGTTTAACGTTGGGACAAACACCTCAGTCTTAACGTGTGACCATAAAAATAAGTTACTTTAAAGATTATCGAAAGATATAGAAAAGTAATTCTTAAAAAAATGTTTTATATTGTTCGTAGTAGAGGGGTCTAGTAGCCATCTCGTAAGTTATATTGTTGGCCACAGCAATACTACTGTTTTTAAGAGGGTCTGATCTGATATTAGGGAAGAGGCCGCCCGGACTGCCATAATGCGTATTGACATATTTTCAATATGTCAACATTCTTAGATATGCAGGTTACTTGGCGACATCTCCCTTCGCTTCTCAGTATGTGATGAATCAGCACTTAAAATTGCAATGAAAACTTTCATCTATTAAAATCAAAACAACTTCAATCTTCGGTTCTGAAACCTGATTTATTTTCCATCAGCCGATTTCGTTACGAAGGTGTCTTACGGGGCAACTATGGGAATTGTTTATATTATAGCGAAAAAATTAAAAACTTATGAATTTAGATAAATGGCGGTATAACTGATTCGTACGCTAGACGTAAAATACCTAGGCATAGATAGATAAGAAGATAGTGGCGACGGACTGCAGTGTCAAAGATTACGGCAAATCCTTCCTGCCACGGAATAGGCCCATGTTCAGTAGTAGAGTTTTGCGGGCTAATAAAGAATAAGAATTAATGAAGAACATTGTATTGTTTTATATGTTTTATATTAACATTTTTTCAGCTAAATGTGTTAGTGTGAGATCGGGAGATTCTTGCGCTAAAATCTTAGTAGTAAGAGACGAGAATGGACCAGCTATGCAAGTTGTATATTACGAAATTGACTTCTTATTGCCTGAATTGAAGTTACCTTGCATGATTAGGTGCGGAATATTTTCAATTATATTATTCTCTAGTTATCTTTTATGTAATAAATTTTAACTATTATTTATTTTTATGACTATTATCAATTTCTTTTCTTTTATTATAATGCTTAGTTAGGCGTACTCATGATTTCAATCTTTATAATCTATCAAAAGTGCTCAAATTAAACACAGGCTATCCTCATAGATTTCCTCATAGGGGAATATTTACTTTGATATATTTACAGTAAGATGCTGCTGGCTATCTCCTGTTTTAGTTTCGTTCTGTTGTTTGTGTCTGTTCTGTGTCTTTTTTAATTCCAATGTTAAACATTATTTTTTAAGAATACAAGATTAGGCAAGTATTTTTGAAAGAGTTGCTTGATATGTAGTTTGAGTTTATGTAGATGTAATTTTTACCTAGTTACAAAATCACAAGGTTTTGCATTACATATCTATTTTCTTTTGTTAAATTTATTTCAATACTAAGTAGATCTGTTACTGTCGATGTTATTATGTGTTCATTTGTTGATTTCTTGTTACTAATTTCCTACTGCGTAGCATTGAAAGGAAGTTAATGGTTTTAGCTGGCAGTCTGTTAGTCTGTATGTCGACACGATAACTTCCGTTTCACTGGACCGATTGACTTTAAATTTGGTATGTAGATACCTTGAGGTAGTAGCTCGGTTGAGTTTGAATTTGGGGCACCAGAGATATGGGATTCACGCAGAAGGAAGTTGTTTTTCTTGAATTTACATTCAACTCGTTATTTATGTGCATATCACGGGGGTGGCATAGACACTGTGTGACAAAACAACTTTTTGAAAATAAACATAGAAAAGAAGTGCTTACCAAAGTTATGTTGGGATTTTTGTATTTTTGTCATTATTATTAAAGTAGTAGGTCGATAATATAAAACAATATATTTTATGATAAATTGATTTGTGTCTTAATTAATTTACTAAAGTAAAAGTAAAATAAATAACAGGCTATGTGCCCGGAGATCACAAATATCTAAAAAGAGAAATAATAAAGAAATTAAAAAAATGAGTTCGTTACAAAATCTGCCTTCGCTTGTTGCTGACAATTTTTATATTGGAACTTCGGGGTAAATTGTTTATTGGATGTAAAATCAGTAGTTTTTGTTATTAAGCAAGAGGTTGTGATGAAACAGTTACTGCACAAGTTAGAAGAATTTTCAAAGTTAATGATGCTAAAACTAAGTAAATATTAGTTCAATTTCTTATTGAAAAGCATTTGGATCTAGTAAAAGATGCAGAAACTGCTAAAAAATGATGTAATCTTTAGAGCGAAAAAGTGTATTTACAAACCTGAATTTCAACCGAAAATTATTATCATTAGTGTTCTGATAATGAAAAAATTTGATGATACTTTTGTTTTGGATTATAGTTGTCCAGCACGCCTTGTTATCTTGAAAAATACATAAATGAATAAAAATTCAAATAAAGTCAAATGAATAAAAATTACAAACAAGTTAATATTCATACCTATGTATGTAATTACTCTAAGTTCATAACGCAAATGGTGTGACAATGAAAGTTATCAAAAAAGGTCAATGTGCTGGTAAATGTCAGGGCTTAGATTATTGATAAGTCATCGCGCGGTCAGAGCTCTTGGTAGAGAGTAATTGTGTTCTGTGGGTCAGAGCGACTTATCAATAATCTAAGTATAACATTTATTTTGAGGTTTTAATTGTTGAAGATATGCATAATAATTTACTGTCTTTAATTTAATTCAATTCAATCAACAAATAATGACGTTTAATAAAACAAGATCAGGAATGTATTCTTGATATTGTTTAAATTAATCAAATTGGTAAAATGATTAGAAATTGTATAGAGCATATTGTTTTTTTAATAGAAAAAAAGATCCTGTAACATTTAAAGAAGCATCTTAAGACTTAGAATGGACAGAAGCAATAAAAAAATAATTGAGTGCATAAAAAAATTAGCAAAATGGACTGAAGCTGATTTATCAACCTAAATTTCAACCGAAAATTATTATCATTAGTGTTCTAATAATGAAAAATTGGATTATACTTTTGTTTTGAATTATAGTTGTCCAGCACACCTTGTTAAGTTATCTTGAAAAATGCATAAATGAATAAAAATTCAAATGAAGTCAAATGAATAAAAATTACAAACATAAGTTAATATTCATACCTATGTATGTAATTACTCTAAGTTCATATCGCAAATGGTATGACAATGAAAGCTATCAAAAAAGGTCAATTTACTGGTAAATGTCAGGGCTTAGATTATTGATAAGTCATCATTAACAAATAAAATAATGACGTTTAATAAAACAAGATCAGGAATGTATTCCTGATATTGTTTAAATCAATCAAATTGTAAAATGATTAGAAATTGTATACACCATATAAAGGATAAAAGAAATTGTATACAACATATAAATGTTACAATTTAAAGAAGCATCTTAAGACTTAGAATGGACAGAAGCAATGAAAAAATAATTGAGTGCATAAAAAAATTAGAAACATGGACTGAAGCTGATTTACCAAGTAAAAAAATATCCATTCACACTAAGTGGTTATTATAACAAAATATGATAGAACAAAAAAGGCACGTTTAGTTGCAAAAGGATTTCAAGTACATGATTATCATCTACATGATTATGAACTAAATACAAATTATGAACCTGTAGCTAGAGCGTCAATTATCAGAATAATGATATCAATTGCTGTTCATAAAATCTATAAAACACGCAATTAGATATACCAATCGCAATTTTAAATCAAAAATTATAATCTGATGTTAATATAAATATTCCAGAAGGGCTGAAGGTAAAGTTTTAAAACTTAACTGGGCGTTGTACAGTTTAAAAAATTCTTCTAAATGTAGGAATGATGAATTTAATGAATTTGCTATAAAAATGGATTTCATAGATCAGAATATGATTATTGTTTATATTATGGTGAAAATTATGGGTTAATAATTTATGTTGATGACATAATTACAATTGGAGGAAATAATGACATTATTAAAGTATTTTTATTATAGTAAATAATGTATTTATCTATTTCTTCAAGACCTGATTTAATGTATTCAGTTTTAAATAAGCCAACAAACCAAACATGACTAAGGGAATAATTTGCTACTTGAAAGGAACTAAACATTTTGGATGATACAAGAAAATTGGCAGTTTTATAATAAAAGGATATTCAGATTCAGACGGGCTGGTGATAAAATCGACAGAAGAAGAACAAGTGGTACGATAGTATTATTCGGAGGAAATGCGGTATCATGGCATTCTAAAAAATAAAATTGTGTCGCATTATAAACAGCGGAGACTGAATATGTAGCTGTTGCTTTAACTGCTCAAGATCTTATTAATATCAAAGGTGTAAGTTTCAATTTTGGAATTAAAAGTGGGGTTGAATTATATGTCAACAACGATGGTGACATCAACATGACAAAATCGTATGAAAATAATTCTAAACGAAGTAAACAAATTGATATAAAAGAGCATTTTAATAAAGATTTGATTTTGAAGAAAATAATAAAGATTGAATATTAGGTCCTACATATGAAATTGGCGTTTTGTACGAGAGGAATACAAAGTCATTTTTTTGTAAAATATATTTAATTAATCAGAGTATGCACCGTTATTATCTATGCACTTTTGCCATATCATAAGTAGTTCATTGATCCCTTTACTAAAAAAAACCATGGGGGCGTGAATCAATAAACTCTTTGAAGGCGGTTTGTACTGCCGCATCGGAGTTGAATTTTTCTCTTTGTAAGAACTTGTTCAAATTCCGGAAAAAACGGTAATCTGTTGGAGCAAGGTCAGGGGAGTACCGTGGATGTCGCAGACATTCTAATTGTAGCTCATTAACTTAGTGGTTGTTTGTTGTGAAGTGTGTGGTCTTGCGTTGTCGTGAAGCAGCAGTGGAATAGAGCGATTGACCAATCTCGGTTGTTTAACAGCTAGTTCTTTCCTCATGGTTTGCAGTTGCTGCCAAAATATATCTGCCGTAATTGTTTGGCCAGATTTTCGAAAGCTGTAGTGAACGACACTGGCGCTAGTCCACCAAACACTCACAAGTAACTTTTTCTGAGTCGATTTTCGTTTAGGACAGTATTTGGCTGGGTTTCCAGGGTCCAGTCATTGCGACGAGTGCTTCCGCTTACCGTACAGTATCTATTTTTCATCACAAGTAATGATTCGATCCCATCATTATTGGGTCGATTGAGCAAAGTAATACTTTTTACTTTCCCGATTTGCTTCAAGTGGATTAATACAGTTTTATTACATACCCCGAAGCCTTCATGCAGATAGCTGCCGAAGCCTTCATGCAGATAGCTGCATCTCTGAAGTGCTTTGTGATGGATCCGCTTCCACGATAGCCTTTAATTATTCATTTTCCACTTTGGTCTCCGGCCGTCCCCGTAGGTTGGTTCTGAAGGTCGAAATTTCCAGAACAAAAACGTTGAAACCAAAAACGTACTATGCTTGCTTTTGTGACATCAACGCCGTACACATCATTAATCTTTCGAGCTGTTTCAGTGGTCAGTACGACAAAACACTAATTTCATATGTAAGGACCTAATATATTAATACAAAAGAATATATTGCAGATATAATGAGTTATGACCAAAGTTTTGTGTAAACAAAAATTTATTAATTTGCGAAACAAAATGTGAATTAATGTTCGATTAAATAATCAATTAAATCTTTATCAAGTTTTCATCGAGGAGGAGTGCAGATATTATTTTTATGAATGATGACGTTTTGTGGTTGTTTTGGTTGCTTAGCAGTTCGTTTATTTTTTTTTGAAAGTAGTAGATTGATGATATAAAATTATACATTTTATAATAAATTGCGGTTTATTGAGAGACTACACTCTCTCACTGGTGATCATTATGGATTAATATATTGTTTTTTTTTTAAATCTTTTACAACGCAATGTTTATTCTTCACTATTTACACAAAATACTTTATAGTTAAAATAATTTATTTTAATGTTCATTTTATTTTGGCACCTGGTACAATTTTTCGTCACGTCCCGGCTCCCTGGGATTCTCCCATTAGAAGAGAATGCCAAAAAGAGTTAAACATGTACATTGTAATGTAATGGTCTTTGAAAGTGGTGTACAGGTAAAAAAATATATAAACTCTGTATGTACTCGTATTAATGAGTGAAGGGAAAACTTTTTAAGCATATTGCCCGCACTGAGGAGTGTGAGATTTGGCACATATAATTGAAAACACATAATTATCACTTGGACAAATTTTGTCGTTTGTCGGTGTTCATCATACTGCTAATTTCTTTTTCAATACTTAATTTCAATACTGTTTAAGCATAATATGTATGTTATTACACTTAAAGCGCAGAGTAGATTCATCATCATTATCATCATCATCATTACAGCCCTTCACAAGTCCACTGCTGAACATAGGCCTCCCCCAATTAATGCCACAAAGCACGGTCCCTAGCCACTTGCATCCATTGACTTCCTGCATGTCTTACCAGGTCGTCACTCCATCTAGTGTGGGAACGCCTTACACTTTGCCTGCCAGTACGAGGCTGCCACTCGCGAACCTTTCTTCCCCATCAGTCGTCGGTTGTTCGAGCTATATATCCAGCCCATTGTCACTTCAGGTTACTAACGCGTTGGGCTATGTCGGTTACTCTGGTTCTACTGCGGATATCATCGTTTTTAAGTCTATCAAGCAGAGAAACGCCTAGCCCTCTCCATAGCTCGCTGAGCAACTTTGTGCTTCCTCATACGGCCAGCAGTGAAGGACCACGTCTCAGATCCATAGGTCATCACTGGCAACACGCACTGGTTGTACAATCTAGTTTTGAGGTATGCCTGACGAGAAGATGTGTCGTAATCTCCCGAAAGCTGCGCGACCGAGATGAATCCGTTGATGAACATCTTGGTCGAAGTTGTAAGTTCAACTAGTCGAACTATTTGTCCCAGGTAAATATACTCGTCAACAACTACGAGCTTAATGCTTCCAACAAATACCGGTATAAGTGTGACATGGAAATTAAATATGACTTTTGTTTTGTGTTAGTGCTTGGGTCCTTCAGCGATTCCGCCATAAGGACATATTGTCGCCATTGACGTTAATACCGTATCCTTTCAGAAGCTTGAAAACGTCTTCTAATGCAGCAATGAAGAGTTTCGGGGATATTACGTCACCCTGTCTTACACCTCTCTGCAGTTGGATAGGTTTCGTATTCTGGTTCTGTATTCTGTGTGGTGATAGCCATCGAAGCCAGAGTATAAGCAAGCCGAGGGGCAGAGGGTGCTAAGAATCTTCGGTGAAGGTTCGGTTTCCACCTAAGACGACTCAACCTGGCAACATATAACGCACACACCCTGAGGACTGATGAGAAGTTCCTGGAGCTGGAAGAAGAGAATATTATAGGATATCCGAGGTCCGAAGAAAGGGGGAGGACATGTTAATCCTCGAATCCGGCGACTTGTTCTATCACCGGAAGGGCGACCATCTGACCTAAGCAGGTGTCGAATTTATCGTCCACAAGTCTCTCATTAACAACGTTGTAAAGATTGGGAGTGTGACGACGAGTGTGGCTTACCTTATACTCAGAATCACCAAACGGTATTTGCTGAAGGTCATACTGGTTTACGTACCAACCTCAGCACATCCCGATGAGGAAGTGGAGGAAATGTATAAAGATATCACTAGAGCCATACATTACTCCAAAACCCACTGTACGGTGTTAATGGGAGACGGCAAAACTAGGCACAAGAGAGAACGGTAAGCAGAAAGTAGGGAAATTCGGAATAGGGCAACAGAACCTTAGGGACCAGCAGATGGCCGACTTTATGGAGAAAGAGGGACTATTATTGTAAACTGTTTCTTCCAACTGAAAGTGGACGTGGTTGAGTTTTTTTTTATAGGATAAGGGTGACAAACGAGCATACAGTCCACCTGATGGTAAGTGGTCGCTGTGGCCCATAGACATCTACATCTATCTTCGATTAAGAGTCAAAATACAGATGCGTTGTCACCCGTGAGGACTAAGATAGAATGCCTCGTTTCCAGTAAAAAGGGTCTCCGGTTCTCTACACTCACCATACGAAACACAGTAGCGTTAAGCTGCTATTTTACGCTGGTATTCTGTGAGAACGTGGTCCTTCCCCGGTCGAGCCGACCCATTCGTGCTACAACCATAATATAGATGCAGCATGGCTCTACCACGTATAACCCGATGAGTCCCGATGGTTCGACAAAAATGAAATTGACTTCATTGTGAGGATCCAGACGACAACTGTTTAGTGATGTCTCAGTGATTGCGAGGCTGAAAACTGGCAGCGATCATCGAATTGTCAGTGGCACACTAAATCTAAACGTTAAGTTGGAGAGGTCACGTCTAATAAAGTCAACACTCCGTCCCCCTCGTGCTCTAACCTAAAGCCCCGAAAACATTCAGCTCGAGTTAAAAAATCATTTTCAGTGCCTAGAAGACTGCAATGAAGTGGACGATATGAATTACATGCTTGTGGAAACTGTCCATGCGGTAGGAGCTTAGTTCTGTAAGATCCGTCGCAGAAGAACACAAAAACTCTCCGATCATACTCTATGAGATTAATCTTATAGCTATTAGACAGGAGATGAATCTGCAGTCTTCAGCAGATTTGACAGCATACAGGCATTGAACAGACTGATCTTCAAATGCATGCGGCGGGACTTACGCAACTTTAATACAGCTCGTATTGAAGAAGCGATCGAGCGGAACCAGGGCTTCAAAGTCTTTGCCAGAGATCTTTCAGAAGTCTGCCAGAAAGAGCCAACTGTCGAAGCTGAAGACCGAATACGGCAGCATCATTTCCTGGACACTTGAGTTCTATGGGCGGCCGTACACGTCATCGCTTGAGCCATATGCAAGTGTGAGTAACGATTTAAGAGCACGTCTTATCCGACACTATTCTGATGATATTCCGGACGTCAGTCTGAGCGATATTAGAATGGCTCTCCAACACCATAAAAACAGCAAATCCCCAGGCGAGGATGGAATTACAGCGGAGGTTTTGAGAGTGGATGGAAAACCGGTACTTGTAATCCTTCCGAAGCTCTTTATTTCCGTCCTCCACGGTGGCACTACACTGGAGGCGTGGAGCAGAAGTGCGGTGGTCTTATTTTTCAAGAAAGCTGACAAAGCTCTCTTGAAGAACTGCAGACCGATTTCGTGCTATTTTCGAGTCATTACGAATCGTCTCGCATGCAGACTCGATGACTTCCAGCCTTCCGAACAAGCTGGTTTCCGAAAAGGCTTTAGCACCCATTCCCTTCGACCACATACATACCCTTCAGCAAATTGTACAGAGAACCGAAGAGTACAATCTGCTACATTGTCTTGCGTATGTAGACTATGAGAAGGTCTTGATTCCGTCGAAATTTGGGCGGTGCTGCAGTCCCTTTATCGGTGCCAAGTTGAGTAGAGATTGTCATCAAAGAATTTTAAAATGTTCATCTCAAGAATTTTAAAATGTTTATATTTAAATAAAGGTGTTTTTTAGTAGTAGCTATTACTGAGTTTAGCACCAAGTACTGATATTACAGATAAGCATGAAAAACTTTAAATTAATAAGCTTTATTTTATGCGCAGATATGGACTATACGCGGGCAACTAAAATAGCTATCTAAAACATGAGGAGCTTTACCATGTCTATTACATTTTGACTTTGTGATTTCAGAGTAATAGGCCGCATGTTGTACGGGACATGTCGTCTGCAAGCGTTTCACGTGCGTCCAGCGACTGGAGATGATGTCGCGACATTACCGCGCCGTGCTGCAGTCGCACAGCATCATGTCACCAAGCTCTGCAAGGAGTACACCGTTACGAACTGAACATTGCGAATTGATTTGTGTTGATTAACAAAATTCTATAATTAAATGAATATCCTCATTAATTGACATTATAATTTAAATAAAGAAAAAGTTTATATGGGTTTTCTTTATTTATTCCGATAACTCGAACGAAACAAATAGATCCGGATCTAAACATATTGTGGGTAGGTATATAATTCTTTTTCCTACTCATAGATACAGGCCCCTTTTATGGTGTTTTGCAACAAGGAATGAAGTAAATAAGGAATATATTCTAAAAAATATAATATTTTTAGTTTCTCATACCGGTTTCACCACAGACGAGCACATGGCAAATCAGTACTTAAAATTGCAATTGATAATTTCATTACTTTCGGCGGAAATCTAAATCAGTATGTTTGCGTTACTAAGATGAGAAGAAAAATTACCGTTATTTGAATTTTTTGTTACAGTTAATATGCTATTTAATTGATTTTAGGTATGTATACAATGTATATAATTGTCATTATACGATTGTCTAACCGTCAAAGTTGAAACGTTCGCCAGAACCTGAATGAAATCAGTGGTTATATTCTCTTTGGAAATCATTCACTCTGTGACATTGAGTTATATGTATCACGTACTAGAGAAGCCATTCCAAACAAAAATTGTGTCCTACTCTATGTCTGCAACTACTACTCCCGCGCATGCGCGAAAACTTTAATATAAAATAAGATATTAATATAAAATAAATATAAGAATTTAATATAAAATATCTTAATTTAATCTAACATATTTCTAAATAAAATGTAATAATAATTATTTTATGGAATTCACAAATCTTCAATTTACGCAATATTTAGTTTGTACGGATTGCAGTACAGTTCAGTTGAACATAGTCAATGTTCGGAATGGCTTCTCTAGTACGTAGTACATATAACTCAATGCTCTGTGATGAAAAAATTAGAAATTATTGAAAACGAAGGTGACTGTAGATGGGATGGGGCAGGACAGTTCGCACGCGATGCAGGATATAGGTGAGTTCCGCCATCGATTGGCGGTGGCGGTGGCAAATTGACATCACATCAAATAAATATATACGCGTGGTTTGAGAACAAAAACTAACTTTACTTATCAGCAAAAATCTTTGTTGCGATTACGATGTAGTGGTATTCACGGTAACTTGGTTAAATAAATTTGTTCTTAATAATGAGCTTTTTGATCAACAACATATTTTTTATAGAAAGGATAGAGAGAATGCTGAATATTGTTTTAAAAAAGATGGAGGTGGAGTTTTAATCGCTGTATTCAGAAAAATAAAGCCTCGTCGTATGTTTGAGTGGGAATCTAAAGTTGAAGATCTCTGGGTTGTAATAGATACAATGGTTTCAAAAACTAAGCAAGATAGCCCTTTGTGCCGTTTATTTGCCGCCACCAGTACATTATTCTTTGTTAGAGCATTTTTTAGATAATTGTAGTTTTGTTTTCGAAAAATGTGATAGTCATTGTATAATTGGTGATTTTAATTTACCTAGTATTAACTGGAGTTTGTTAGGTCATGTCGCGAATGGTAACCAACTAACAAGACTAAATCAATTCTTAATTGACTTTACACATATGAATTGTTTACAACAACTTAATCATATAGTTAACTAGCTGATCCGGCAAACTTCGTACCGCCTAACAGTCGATTCTTTATTATTTTTTATTTTTTTTTTAATACTGATTCTGCTATTCGGGACACCGTCACTCAATTGTTTTGCCTTTCCTAACTAATGGTCCCCACTCACGGTCAGTTAAACTGACATCAGTTCAACTGATCATTTCAAACGGATTTAATCCAAAAAAGTTTCGACACACACGGTCAGTTCAACTGATCATTCCAACTGATCAGTTCAAACTAAGGCTGTTTATATTTTTAAAATATCGGATTTTCAATATATCGATAATTATAAATATATCAATATCGGAGTTTTATATATCGGAAACATAAGCGATATATTGATGCTTATTGCTTAAAAATGATTCACACAGTTTATAATTTAGTATATTTAGTAAACAAATTAAATTATAAATGTATGAAAATGTTAGGTTATACGTAAGAACTATAACCTTATTATTAAAGAGCCATGGTAACTCAGATGGTTAGCGCTCGCTGTAAATTTCACAGTACGCGAGCAACCCAGGTTCGATCCCCGCCGGCACCAATGAAATTGTTAATTGCAATTTTAAGTGCTGATTTACCACGTGCTCGGCGATGAAGTAAAACATCGTGAGGAAACCTGCATGTCTAAGAAATAAAATAAAAATTTCAGAAAACGTGAAGTTCGCCAACACGCATTGGGGTAGCGCGGCGGACGTTGCCCTAAAACCCTCTCAGAAGTTAAGAGAGGCCTGCCCAGCTGAGGAGTGCCCAGCATTGGGACGTATATAGGCTGTAACTTTAACTTGAATTATTGTTTAATTTAAATAAGACAATTATGTTTACCAATATTTGTCAGTAAGAGTTTTCAAAAATACTCGTTGTTTTATATGTTGAGCTGTTTCAATACTTCAATTATTGGGCACTAAAAGATTGATTGAAGAAGTAATTCGTTCAGATGCTTTGGATGCAGCTGAAGAAATCAAGTATTTAACAGCTATTTCTGATAGCACGGAAGTAAATCATAAGGCGCCTAAGCGATCAAAATAACTTGAGGCTTATACCAACATCGAAGCACTTATTTAGTCGTTTTCTCTAATAGCTCACATGTGCAGACCCTTAATACACATAATCGCATCACTTTGATAAAAATCCACTTCAAACGTAGTAAAGTAGTACTAAGTTTCATAGATTATAATGATTTTAATTTCACAGAGATATACTTTACAAAACTACATTTCTTTTTAAGATAATAAGCAAATAAATAAACTGGGGAAAAATGAAAAACATAATATGTGTAAATAAAGTATAGTAGATTGGGCCCATCAAGGATTAGGATTTAAGTTTACGATGGTGTTGTAGATTAAATGATTTACATGAAAAAAAAAATTAAATTATTTAAAAAAATATATCGACTGTTGTATTTCAATATCAAACTTATATTTCAACATATGTCGTCAAAATATTAAAAATAAACATCGATATTTCTAAATAATAAAATAGATTTTTCGATATATCGATATTTTATCAACAGTCCTTGTTCAAACCGGTAACATTTGCTGAGGCATCAAAAAGTCTTTGATGCCTCAGCAAATGTTACCGGTGGTTTCTCATTAATTGACTGTATGATGATAGGACCCGTATTATAACCAGATCTTCGCAGTATAATCATCAGGTGGAGAATACATAAAATTTGCATGATCGGTGATATAATCAAAATGTACAGGCAAGTAAGGGTGACAGAAGACCACGCAAATTTGCAACGTATAGTGTGGCGAAACGAAGAAAACGAAAAAGTTAAGAGCTACAAACTAATGACAGTTACCTTTGGCACCGCTGCTGCACCCTACCTTGCCGTAAGAATATTATGTCAGCTAGCCCAGGAAGAAGCGGAAGAATATCCTGAAACTGCATCTGTAATAAAATAATCTCTTTATGGGGATGATATAATGTCTGGGAATGAAAATATACATAAAACGATAGGTATGTGCGAAGAAATTAAAATGATACTAAGAAAGGGGGAATTCGAAATGCAAAAATGGTCCAGCAATTGTGATGATGTATTAGATTTTTTACAAGAGACGGAACGTACTATGAAAGAAAAATTAGATATAAAACTAGACAAGGTTATAAAAATTTTAGGTTTGACATGGAATAGAAAAGATGATAAATTTAAAATAACTGTAAACTTACCTGAAGTAGAGGATCCTATTACAAAGAGATCAGTCCTTTCCGATGTGGCTCGCCTGTTTGACCCATTTGGTTGGTTGTCTCCAGTAGTCATATCAGCAAAAATATTAATACAAAAATTATGGATCTGTAATTTAGGTTGGGATGGTGAATTACCGCCACATTTCTTTGCCACGATGGTTTAACACAACGTCGCAAAACTTGGAAGACGTGGAAATACATGGATTTGCAGATGCATCAGAAAACGCATACGCTGCGGTTGTTTATTTCAAGGTCATTAACAACGCGTCAATACATGTCATGATAATTGCATCGAGGACTAAGGTTGCACCTTTGAAGCAAATATCTGTTCCTAAATTGGAATTATGTGCTGCAGCTTTACTAACAAAACTCATGAGTGATGTTGTAGATCTATTGTCCATCCCTAAAGAAAGAATTTTTGCTTGGTCTCACTCAATGGTAGTTCTATCATGGTTACAATCGGAACCAAGCCGGTGGCGAACATTCGTAGCAAATAGGGTGGCTGAGATAACATGGGTATTAGACAACAATCACTGGAACTACGTTCAATCTTCTGATAACCCGGCTGATCTAGCAACAAGAGGAATTAAAGCGCATGATTTGGCTAATCAAGATAATTGGTGGTCTGGTCCAGACTGGCTTAAACAAATACAAATAGAAAAGGACACATTGGAAATTACTCAAACAGAATTAGAAATCAAGAACGCATTTCATAGTTATTTTGAAGGAGAACCGATTTGGCAAAGATTTTCTTCGTTGTCAAAAATGAAACGAGGTTTAGCATATTGCAGAAGGTTATTGCCGAAAAAAGGTAAAAAGGATTTTTTTTAACAGTTGATGAAATGAATTTAAAGGAAACAATATGCGTTAAATTTTATCAAGGACAAATTTATATACAAGAGGTAGAGTACTTAAAAAGGAACGGAAGATTGCGAAGTGGAAGCTCATTGGCCAATTTGACACCCTACTAAGATGAACATGGATTGTTGAGGGTTGCAGGTCGATTGAATAATGCAGAGTATTTATCGACGAATACTAAGCACCCAATTATCATCCCAGCAAAGCAACATGCTACCAGACTTATAATAAACGACGGTCATGCAAAAACCTTACACGGGGGCGTACTGCAAACGATGGTCTTTATAAGACGCAAGTTCTGGATTATCAACTTAAAGTCAGCTGTAAGAGG